CCGCTGGGCACCCCGAGACTGACCTCGTCCCTACCGCTGGGCACCCCGAGACTGACCGCGTCCCCTCTCCCGGGGTCCTGACAGTGACCCCATCTCTGCCGCTGGGCACCCCGAGACTGAACCTGTCCCTGACAGTGGCCCTGTCCCTGCCCCTTCAAGTATAACTCCCATCTTTCCTCCTCCTCCTCTGTCAACAGGTTGCCACAGCTCATAGGAATAGTGGGCAGGATCAACGTTGCTTCAACAACCTGTGTCCATGAATTCTCCAGGTTCTTCTGGAGGTTATGTAGAACATTTGGGAAAATTTTTACAAATACTAAGGTAAGCAGCTTTCAAATGTGTGGTTTGCTATTGGTCTAAGACTTTTCATTAAAAACAGTTGAATGTCTTACTTCATTTGCGAGATTATCGTTGCAACAAAGTTTTGCAAAGCCTCTCCGTGGATAATGATTCTTTAACCAGTTTTGTTTCTGTGCTGTTTCTGCTTGTAGGTAAAACCGCAGTTTCAAGAAATACTCAGGCTTTCTGAAGAGAATGTTGGTAAGCAAAAATGTTTTACGGCATCTGTGGTGTGAGAAATATACTTTGAGCAATTGCACAAGATGGTGGCTTTTATACGTTTGTCTTCATTATGGCCAATTCAATTGAGAACACCTGTCCCATTCAAGTAGATCTCTCATTTTCATGAACACGGTTGCTTTCGGGTTCGGTGTTGCAGCAGTGTTCATTGTGTCTAGTGCTGTTCACGTGGGATTTTCCTTTCTTGCGCGTCTGCTGCTGTGAAGAGCTCTTGACTTGTAAAAGCCTAAGCTCAAGGTGCCTCAGCAACACACGCTGAAGACCTCGTGTGACAATCAAGACGTGCTCTTCTAGTGAATCGGCAAGGCTCTAAAGCAAATCATTAGCACATCAGTAAGGCCATTGTCCATTCATGTGAAGACTGGAGCTAGTCCCAGGACTTCTGCTTAAGGGAAACTGACCTTCAGCGATAGGTTAGAGAAACCAATCTTGGAAAATTAGTTTCAGATCTGTAGTTGTCGTTTTATTCAGTCTCTGCCCCAGCAGCTGAGATTTCTGTCATTCTGTCTGCTTATTGATGATTAGATTACTGGGAAGAATGCATATTTTAGCCCTTAGTTTAAAACATTAAGCCCTCCTGCCACAAAAATCGAGACGATGCTCATTCTTGTCGGTTTAATGGCCAGTTACTGAAATGCTCTTTTGAATAATGTCGCTCTGCATGTGGTTCTTCAGATGCGACTGCAGGAAACGGGATTCTGACAAAAGCCACAGTGCCCATCTATGCAACAGGTGTGCTTACGTGCTACATCCAGGTGAGGAGGCTGTGGCGCCAGGGGCTGAGAGGGCAGGAGAGCAGGGGCAGGCTTCAGTTCTTCCTTTGAGCCGTCACCCGTTTTGTTTTCAACATTAGGAAGAAGACCGCAAGCTGCTGGTGGGATTCCTGGAGGACGTCATGACAATCCTTTCCCTGTCCCACGCACCGCTGGACAGCCTCAAGGCCTCGTTCGTGGAGCTGGGGTACGGATGCGCCTGCCTCTCGCTCGGATGCGATGTTGCTTTCGGCCTCTTCTCTTCCCCCGTGGTTTGGTTTACACGGCGGCGCCTGAGCTAACATTTCCTTTTTTGAAAAAAAATTCAAGCCATCAGGCTGGAAGAATTTCAGCATTGTTTTTCTTTTTAGAAAAATGAGGTGGTTTAGCCGTCGCGTTGGAAATCCTTTCGATATTGTTCTGCCCGTCGTGTGGGTGTAGGTTGGACACGTCTTAAAGAGCACGACAGCTAACAGTCGTGGTCCTGCCGTATACGCGTGCTGTGAATCGGGCTCGGGGCTCTCCGCTGAAGGTGTCTCTCGCCTCGCAGGGCCAACCCTGCGTACCACGAGCTGCTCCTGACTGTCCTCTGGTATGGCGTCGTCCACACCTCGGCGCTCGTTCGCTGCACCGCGGCCCGGATGTTTGAGGTACGTGGGCTGTCGACATTTGTTTTCCATCAACAAAGTGATTTCACAGCTGGGGGGAGGGGGGGGGGTTCATTAAGGGGGAAAAATTGAGTGCACGCTGTAAATTTATTTAAAAAAAAAAACATACAGCCCAGTGTTTGATAGAGAGGAACGCCAGTACAACTAGTGTTAATGTAGAAATGTCAATGTGTCTGTGCTGCAGCAAGCTCCTTGCTTCCAAAAGCAGAAAATAGGGAGAGCAGGTTGCCGAGAGACTTTAGCGCGTCCATGCCGCTGGCTGGTCTGTGCGCTGCGTGTGCCCTGCCTTTAACGGACACTTGACGTAAGGAGACACAGGCAGTACTCGTCTTCTAGGAGGTCAGTGCACAGGCAGAAGCAGAGCCACGGAAAAGGGGGCACGTCAGTATTTAAAGAATGCGACTGGCTTCCGGACGTCAGCAGTGAAGGCAGGCTGGCAGATATTCCCTGTAATGAGTTTTTGAGCAGTGCCCGTACTTTGCATGCTCTCTGCTTTTGGAGACTATTGAAACGCGATCTTCTAGCCACCTGGCTTTTTTTGGTGGCACTGCTGAAGGGCAGTTCTGTAAGGGGATAGACTCTTCCAGCTTTCCTCATTGGGAAGATGAAACCAAATTGAATACAGCCCCCGCCAACTCCAGCTTCGGTTCAACCACTATTCATAACATTCAGATTGTGAGTTAAACAAACATGATAAGAAAATGCTGCTTAAGCACAGGGCTACTGCAGATGCTCGCTAGTGTCCTTAAAAGCTGATGCGCACACACGGTCTGGGCCTGTTAGAGTGTGTGACATCCTACATTCTCCCACGCCCTTCATGAACAGGAGTGTAGAATTGTGCTTGGCATTTTTCATTTTTTTTTTTTGTTTGCTTTTCTTAAGCTTATGTGACACTTCCGTGTATTTTTTTTTATTTTGTTGTTTTTTATTATTATTGTTGTTTTTTTTTTTCCTTTTCTCTCTGCGGTGTTGCCATGACACTGTGCTCGCTCTGTCCGTGCATCCCGTGTGACATCACCCTGCTCTGACCAATCAGCTGTTGGTGAAGGGGGTGAACGAAACTCTGGTAGCTCAGAGAGTCGCTCCTGCACTCATTACTCTCTCCAGTGATCCTGAAATGTAAGTTGACTCCTGCTTTGTGCATCCGGCGCTGCGCCCAGCTTTGGCTTCTGAAGAGTGAACTCCTGACCGCTCCCGGTCTGCTGTATACAATAAGCACACGCACAGAGGAGAGATTTATCAATTAATACACCAATTAACATTGACTACTGCTTTATTTAACACTGTATACTGAGATGCATTAGAAAACGCAGCACATATACTACTACTCTGTTGCTTCCAATATTTACATTGCATTATTAATGCCTCGGTGTATTTATGGTAGCCTCTGCTATTTTTTCCTGCTGTCTTATGGACAGTATTAAGACATGTTGATTGTGCTTTGTGACGGAGACTAGCGCACATAAAGAGGTATACGGAGCATGTGTGTTTCACCAGAGATACAAGATCGTTGCAAAATAATAGCGTGCTAGAATAGTCGAGTTGGGGGCCCAAGCCAAAATAACAATCCTTGTTATTATATGGTGCTTCTCGGCCTGCAGGATTCTCAATTTTTAGATTTCATATCCAAACAAGCACCCAGTGAATATGGTGGGGGAGAAAGCTTCTGCTGGCAGTGCGATGCAAAAAAAAAAAACGAGAATTGAAAGTCTCTATCGACATGCGTCACAACAGAGCACAATAACGTTGTATTTCGTGTTGCGGTAATGATCGAAACTGTTGAATAAACGCGATGCGGTTATCATTTTGAAAGGTGCTCGGTGTGGGAGCTGGACGGAGGCTCATGTCATGTTGGGACCCTGAGAGTGGTTCCTGACGACCGGACACTCAAGCCACCTGGCCTGTTTGATCTGAGGAGCCCGTCCAGACTTGTCTTGAACAAGTCAGGGTATTAACTCCCGTCACTTAGCTGAGCAGCTTGTTCCGGTTGGCTGCAGCCCTTTGGATCAAGAAGTGCCTCTCGCTCTCCATTTTAGATGCAGTTTGCACATGTGCCCAATCGTTCCCGCACAGTTTGTCAAAGCCACACTTGACGCCTTGTGCGGTGTAACTGTTAGATTCTCGCGCATTTGAATTTAGTTCAGTTTAGTGGAAACACGAACATGATTCCGCAACTTTTCGTTTTATTAATATTTCTTCTTCTTAATAATAATAATTAATTAATAATCATTTTACTTAAGGAGTTGGTTAAGGCCCGCTCCGCCTGTTGGAGCGTGTGCCATCTTCCCTCCCTCCTCGGTCAGGCGGCTGTGTCCTCAGTGCCGGTCCTGACAGCTGGGAATGCTGGGAGTGCGGGGAAAATAAGACCGCCCTGCACAGTCGGCCACACTGGCCTCCGCCCGGCTTTCCCTTTTGTGAAGTGCGGCATCTGGGCAGCACGTTGTTCACGGTCCCTTGCACTCGTAGGGTCTGGGGCTGCTTACAGCGAGGACCGTTGGCAATTTCCAGGTTCGAGTGTCTGTGCCAAAAGCACCTTGTTTTCACCGCAGAAGTACAAGGGTCTCCCCGACCTTATCCACTGCACCTTTCTAGGGCAGCACATGCTCTTTTTGTCTCTTTATACTCGCTGCGCTACAGGTCCGTGTATCCGCACAGGGCAGGGTAGTCAACACGGCTTCCCAAACTGAAGAGGCCGAACCGCAGTTTCAAACCGGCCCCCTCACGATGAGCGTAGCAGCAGGGCTCGCTCCGCCGGGTGGCGGAGTTCTTCTTCGAAGCCAACGCGGGGGGCGGCGCGCTTCGCTGTGCTTGTGCTTGTGCTGGCCCTTTCCTCGCAGGTGGCCCCGCCCCCACCCCGCTACCCCCGGCTGCCGCGAGCGGGGCCCTCGGCCTGCAGGCCTCACTCACTGGGTTTCACCCACCGTTTCTCTCTTGCATTTTGACTGGTTGCAGCTGATTCTGCGACGCATGAGCGAAGCCTTAATTGACAAGCGAGTAGCTCCGGCCCTTATTACCTTGTCCGGTGGTCCTGAATTGTGAGTTAAAATGCAGACGCGAGACCTTAAGTTACCTTAAGTACCAACCTGTTTCTTTAGCCTTGTTTTGGTTCTGTTTCATTATTGACATCAGAATGAACTCGTAACTGAATCCATGCTTGCCTGCTCATTACTACAACTAGACTTGTTTGGATCTGTTTTGTTTGTTTTGTCTTTTTGCTATATTTAAAAAAAAAAATGTCTGAACGGGTATTTCCTTTCATGTCTTTTTTCCAGTTCTGTAAGAATATCTACGATCCCCGCGTTTGGTACGATCATGGAGACAGTAACGCAGAAAGAGGTACCTGTTAAATGAGGACGGCAGTTTCATTGTAACCGTTCAGTGTGGGTTGTAGAAGGACAGCTGTTTGTTGTGAGTTTTGCGTGGAGGAATTTTTGATCACAGTTATAAAGTAGTGTTTGTTTAAATTTAAAGTCTAAACCATTTTGGTAAATAAGCATATGTCTTTAAAGCCGTAAGTAGCCGTCTGCATATAATACCATATGTGCAATAGCACTTTATTTGCTCCAATGCTGTTTCAGCTGCTGGAAAGAGTGAAGATGCAGTTGGCCTCATTTCTGGAGGATCCCCAGTACCAAGACCAGCATTCTTTGCACATGGAGATTATTAAAACCTTTGGGAGGGTGGGGCCTAACGCAGAGCCCAGGTTCAGAGATGAGTGTGAGTCTTTTCTGTTGCGCCTCAGCTGTTGAACACTGTACGTGATGCATTTTGGCTTTTGGGGAGGGGCACACTTTGGTGTAATTGGTCAACCTCTAGGTAGCGCTGTTTCCTCTGGTTTTAGACCTCCCTAGTCCCAGTGCCCTGGCCTGGCAAGGGTGGTGGCATTCTTCAGATGAGGTCTTGCCGGCTGTGCCCACAGATCCCACAGCACTGTTGGTAAAAGCAGGAGTGTGATCAGGCCCATAGGAAAGAGTTCTACCTGCTGGTGTGCCAGCACCTCTCCCAGCAACATGGCTTCCCTTGACCAGGCCCAGCCTCGCTTAGCTTCGGACGGGTTACAGGCTGGTGAGGGAAACGGCTGCTGTGTATAAATATAAAGCAGTTCAGTTGTCCTGCTGTACAGTTTCTTTTCACGTGCATTAAAGAAAAGCGGCCTTTTGTCCTGCTAAGTTGCTGTTAGAATAAACAACTGGATGCAGTGCACTGCTTTTCACATGCAGGTGCATAATCCCTGTTAATGGCGGGGTTATTTTCTTTTTAAAAAAAGAACAGTGTTTTTCTTTTTGCTCTTTATTTTGCGTTTACTGCTCATTGGGGAAGTCCTTGCACCGTCATGTTAGTGCTGTCTTTGGAGAGCCTGTATTTCTGAAGTCATGCATGCGGCCTCCTTGAATTCACGCTTCTTGTCATTTGTTTTCAGTTGTTCTTCCTCATTTGCACAAGCTGGCTCTGAGTAACAACATGCAGGCGGTGGACGCCAAGAGACTAGACATCGCAACCCAACTCTTCGAAGCCTACAGTGCCCTGTCCTGCTGCTGTATCCTTCAGTCCGGCTGTCCGGAGATCTGCAGCTCTGTGAGCCCGGCTCTCAGTCTGCGTCTGTTACTCTGGCGGTAGATCTGGGTGACTCTGTAATCGTCGAAAGTCTAAAAGTGGAGGTCCTGTTTAGGGGCAAATGGGGAACTGTGTCAGCGTGGGTTGGCCTCAAAGGAGCCAGTCGAGGTTATCTCTGCTCTGAGAAGGCCCGGCATGTCAGCTGTTGAGCTTCGGCACCCGAAGAAGGCCTGGAATTATCCTCTACTTGTTCCTGTGATCCCTTTGTCCAGTTGTCTCCCAAATGAAGTGTGTTTTACTTTTTAAAAAAAACAGTCCTTTTTAGAGTGAAAACGTACTGGGTATTTAATGGAAAAAATTCCAAGCTGATGTATTTTGGAAGTTGATCTACACAAGTTTGTCTGCTAAGCAAACAGTAATTCTAACACAGCCGTAACGGAGGCTTGTCATCACATAGCGGTCAAACAATTAGACGGTACATTTCCATGCACATGTCAGCGCTCATTGTCGCCGTTATTTTAAAAAACAGCCTTGACGCTTAAAGTAATTACTTTTAACCGAAGGCTCTTAACTGACGTTTTATGTAAATGGCATGAGCTACTTCGGTGAGGCATGTGCGCCACACCCAGAACAGGGATGTTAAAGAAATCTCCTCCGTTTCCTTTATTGCCATCAAAGGCCACCCTGTGACCTCAGATAATACAGACAGCAAGCTGCTGAAAACCGGCAAGCACACTTCCACTACCCCAGAAGCCCTCTTCAGACCGAGGCACCAGGTGCTGTGCAGTTTTCTCCGAGTCTGTCGAGGACCCCTTGATAGTTTGACTAGCTGTCGCCGAGTTCTGTTAACGCAGCCGGATTCCTACGTCACGGCCAGGTCTTGCTCGGGCTGCGCCCGTGTTCCACCCGCGTCCACCGCGGGCTGCGTCGTCTTTTTATAAGCCACCCTGGCTGTCGTGTCCACAGGCGGCCGACTTGTCAGCAGACCGCGACGCCACGTGTGTGGGGCACCCGTTGTGTTGACTTTGATGACGACAACAGCAAGCTGAGCTGGAATCTCTACGCAGTGCTGTGTGTGTATTTATAAAGAACACTGGAATTGTATTGATCGGAGCATAACCTGTGTCATAGCTGGAGTGGATATTGACTTGTTGAAACAACAAAAAATACTGTCAAAATGGCAAAAGAAACAAATTTTTCTCCCAAAAACACACACCGTAAAACACGGAAGTGAACAGATAAATGTGTTTGCATGTAACAGGATAAATGCTGCCTTGTTAATAAGAGAAGCAGCACAGTTTCACCATCTCAGATGTATGAAAGATGTTGTCTTCCGTTCTTTTTCTACTGCTGACCAAATGGCAAAGCAAGAAGGTGGTTATTCTGCATTTTGTTTTCATTTCAATATCCCATGACAGCAAAATGAAAATAGGCCTTTATTCATATGTACATATAAACCAAATTGCAGGGTTGATGTTAAAGCCCGAAACAAAACAACCTTGTGATGTTCTTAAGTGGTATAGGAGATCTGTTCAAAAAGCAGGAAGGGTCCTCCTTATTGGTCACATTTCCCAGCATCTGGCCTTGTGTAGGTTTTCCACAAAATAGCTATCTCCTGACGGGCGTTCGTGAACTCTGCTGATGGCAGTGTTGGTTTTCAGACAGCTGTGTGAGGTTTCCAGACAGCTGTGCCAAGCACTTGTTGACTTTGTTGTAAGCTCTCCTGAGCTCCTTACCAGTTAAGCTTTGCCTGCACAAAGAGGGAGTGGGGCCTGTCACATTGGACGGGACACAAACATGTTATTTCATGTCATGATTAAAATCGTTCCGACGTAGTTTGATACCGCAGCAGATATAAGCAGAGCAAGCTGAGAACTGATCATAGGAAATACTCCAGATTTCTTGCGCTGAATAGCTTCACATTTGTTAACTTACAAGAAGTTGCTTGAGGATGTAAATAGATTTATTAAGAATGATGACATTAAGTCACAATACCTTTAAGATGTTTTTTGTTTTTTCAAATATAGAAAGTGTTGAGGCAAAAGTAGTTAGAGGTGTTGAAAAGTGTAATCCCAGCTTCAGAAATACAAAATATTATACTTACAAATAATGTCTTAGGGATTTCAACACATTTCAAACAGTTTTGGGATTTTTCATGAAGGTTGATTCTAAAAGTTTGTTTTCATATAATGGCATTTGTACCAGTTTAATTCTTTACAGAAAGAATGATCTCTCTGTATTGTGATTATGGACACACACAATGTGATTCGCACAAGGTAATATCAATAGTGCAGACCAAGCAGTTTAGAACCTGAATCAATAAGGTTCTGTTCTTTTTAAAAGGGGAATGTGTCCTTGCATTCCTTTTTGATGTACATTATAATTAAAAACTAATTATTAATGAAGATAAATCTGATTGTATAAACCTCTGCCTACTTTTCCTGTAATTTGACGTTCGGGGTTTTAGGATGGTGGAAGAGTTGAGTTTGCTTCCCCTTAACTGTGGTGTCCAGTTATCTCGGAGGAGCTGATGGTGAACCATTTTTTGCCTGGCTTGAGATGCCTACGAACTGACATGGAGCATCTCTCCCCTGAGCACGAGGTAGGCAGCTTCAGAGGCTGTGTGTTTGTTTCTTTATTGTAGTCATAGAACCAATGCCCTTGTACTTGAGCCGAGCAGTTGATCATTTTACATTAATTATTATTTTTTATTTATTATTGACGGACTCAAGGATCCACAGTGTCTTGCAGTCGTCTTTCCTGCTCTCTCTCAACACTTCCTTGCTCGCTTCGAATCGCCCAGATTCCTGTCTCATCATCCCACTTTTCATTTTCTTGTCGTCCTTCTCTTTGTGTCTCGGCATTAGGAATTAGGCCACTGCTTGTTCCTTTTAGTCCTGCAAGAGACTCACAGGTTGCCTTGCACAGTGGCACTCCTGCCTATAGGCAATGCTGAAAGTGAAATAACTGAATGTGATCATAGCATTAGTCTGAATGGGGGCTTTGAGCTTTTCCATCTCCAAGCCTTTTAATTCTCCGCTTATGCGCCATACCACCTTGTTACGATCTGTTGACAAGTTGCAGTTCATCTTCCAGAAGAGCGGTGCATTTAAATAACTGTATCAACTGACATTGTCGGGAACAGGTTTCTCCACTTCATCTTTTTTGTGTCATTTTCGGGAACGCAAGCCGGCGGGTCATCTCCACTTGCCACGAGCCATTTTAACGTTGACTGCATCAGATGGGTTGATTAAATCGCAATTACTATAATCCCACAAGCAAGCACACAGTACCTTGCAGTCGGAGTTCCTAATATTTTGCATGAGACAATCTGAGAAGGTGAAATAGTCAATTTCTGTTTTCATGACCAGATGTGTGTGTCAAGTTTTTACAGTTGTGATTGTGCACCCCGGGACATAGCTAGGAGGTCTAATATGAGGGTGAGCAATAGTAGACAAAAAAGTGGGATTAATAAATTTGTTTGCAAGACTTTTGTGCTCTTTCTCTACCTTTTTTGTTTTTTAAAGGTTATTTAGGAAATGTGGAATAAGTGTGTAACTCCCCAACATCCGTGGATATGAACCGTTTTCATAGTTTTAAACCAGTTTTAGTACGGACTGCGTTTTCAGATGAATTCCTCTGTTGCGTAGTTCTCCGTACGTCCCGCTGAATTAAAGTAATGACCACTTGCTCAAGTCACCTGTCGGACAGGTGAAGGCTTCCCACTGACGTGAAAGGGGCGCTCTTGAATAAAAAATGCTGTTAGAAGAAGTTTTTTTTTTTCCAGACTGCTATTTAAATCCCTGATCTCGTGTATTTCTTCACACAGGTTATTTTAAGCTCCATGATTAAGGAATGTGAGCTGAAGGTGGAAAACAAGACTGTTCAGGAGCCACAGGGGTAAGAACAGTCTTGCATGTATCTGCTCTTCCAGCGCTGGGGAATTGGTTCACTCAAGAACTGAGAGTAACTTAGCAGCTGCAGGCGGCTCTGTGGGAGCATCTGTGTCCAGTGTTCGTGTTCAAGTCAAATTCCCGCTCATGTTAATTATTAGCAGCATCTAAATAAAATGCAAGTGGAGTTTTTGAGCTTAAATACTTTCTTTGATTTTGGAGACCGAATCTCTTGAATAAATCGGCTAATTTTAATTATGTAACGTAGCCGATTCCTCCCACCATCCTTATAATTTGAGGCAACCTCAGCTACAGTATTCTGAACCGCAGTGTGGCTCTTAATGTCCACCTCGTCCCTGTTACAGCTGGTAAAATCATTGGTTTCTGTGGCTTAATGGGAGCAAGATGCATCATGGGAAATGTGAGGCAAATGAACCAGTCAGCAATCGGGATTACTGATCAGGTTTTGTCCCAGGACGTTGAGCTTTTATCAGTTAACCGTTTTAGCGTCCCGTTTTTGACAGTTGTGGCCCTCATGCTGTCAGGGTGGGTTTGTCCGTGGCTTGGCCCCCGAACCAGCAGGGGTCCCGGTGTGAAGGGGGGTGGCCCGAGAGGGGACGGCCAGTTTCACTGGCCCAGACAGCCTGTTGGTGTATGTGTGTATTTAGAGTTGTGGCAGGAGATGGCCGAGACTGCTGCTGACTGAGATCCGCTGGAATGCAGTGTTTCAGCATGCGGTACAAACAATCACTGTGGGCACTCCATGGGACTGAAGAGCAGCACGGCCTCTCTGTAGCTCTGCTGCTCTTCTTCCTGCCCTGAGAAACAGGCCCCGTGGATCCTGTGCTTCCTAATTAAATGTTGTGCTTCTATTCACTATATAAAGCACAACCACTAATTTCCTTTTCTGCTCTTCCCCTTCTCCACAGCAGTTGGGGACTTGTACTAAAAGCTTTTCTTTTAAAAAAAAAAGAGAAGTGTCTCATTTTCATCACTCAGGCACCATCTTGTAATATTTATTTTTTAAGAAGAACTGATCACCATCTTAATTTTATTTTACATATTCCCGTATTTTGACTTCTGTTAAGGGAGTTAAGAGAGAGAGAGAGAGAGCTGTAAGCAGTTTATTTTTAGGGCTTTGTTGTTTCTCTACCTGCTTTCTGTTAACATTATACTGTTTCTCCTCAATTTTATAATTCAGAACTTGCTCCCTTAATTCTGACTAAACAGCACCTTCTTGGCTGTGCTGCACTTTATTTACAAAAGAAAAAGTTTCCTTAGTGCCCAAATTCTAATCAGGTTGTGATATTTGGGCTCCCAAACATGTCTCTTAGTTCTGTCCCTATTGCAAAAATATTTTTTAATCTCAGTTGGATTTTCTTGTTACATTGCATGCTTCAAATCTGAAATTATATTCCCTACAGGTAATAGGATGTATCTTTAGTTCAGTAAATAGAAGTAAATGTACTTCTGTGTGTCTGCCATTGACAAATATTTTCATTGTATTATTTTATTAGATTATGAAACAAGGAGCATTCGTTTCCCAAAAGTCCTTAAGAATAGGGATGCATTTTATTACTTATGTGTTTATAAGTGATAGTCCAGTGGGAGAAATGCTACTTGTGCTCCCTGTGTGCAAGATCTGTCATGGGGAAATAATCCATTTCCTGCTCAGGAGGAGATCTATCTCCCTGACTTCTCAATTTTTCACTTTTTCACTCTTCTCAGAAGCTGAACTTTTAAGTATGCAAGGAAGATTGTGAAATACAGAGTAGAGATGTGAAAGCAGGACAAAGTTGTCATTAATTATGATTCACGTGCACAGTTAACATACTTTCAGAGATCTGTATTTTTCTTTTTGTTTTGTATGTTTTATTATAACTGTAGTCTTTTTCACTCAGTTAACTGTTTTCACTTATACAGTTTATTTCTTTAAAAAATATATGGATTGTTTTTCAAGAATAGAAGTGAATAACAGCACTGGTCGGCTATTTGTGTTTCTGTAGCACAATGTTGGGTTTCAGGACCAGAGAAGCACTGGAACAGACATTGGGTACATTTCACTGAGATACAGCTGAGCTCCCATGAGGGTTATTTCTGTTGTCCAGTAGAAATTCATGGACCGTTAATACCTGCGGTCGTTCCGTGCTCCAGTTCTCTTACCCGTTTTTGTAATAGTAAAAAATAAATCAGTATTTGGCAAGCTGAGTGTGAAAGCCCATGTGATTAGTGTTTATAATGTCAGTTGTCTGTTAATTTCAGGGGTTGTTGTCCCTGTGCACTAGTGCTACAGCTGTAAACTGGGTTTCTAACAGGTAAAATACGGTTTGGTTGAATCATGCTAGATCATTTCTGCTTAGACTAGAATGACAGTTTCCGATGTAGAAACGTCGGGTAAATCACTCAAACAGCTCTCCTGCTCGCACCTGGTTTTGTTTCAGCAGTGCACTACTCTACGGGTAAATTGTCTTTTGCAAAAAACGTGCAACAAGAGGAAACCAAAAAAAAAAAAGAACTTGAATGCCAATAGAGCAGGGACACATGGTTGAATGTTGAGTTGTTTTGGCCTCTTTATGATCCTCCACAAAAATAGGATGCATCACACAGACGCGCCGGTGAAACGATGTCGTTGGGGACCCAGGTGAGGGTAAGGTTACAAGCGAGAGACCGGGGCATGCGGCCTAGCCTGTCGGGCGGTTAGCAGCTCGCCGACCCGCGGATCTCGTCTCAGAGCGTGGGCGTCGTGGCCTTGGCGGTGGGGCTCCTTGACGCCACCACGGTCTGCTCGGCACCGCCGGGGCTCCGCGGTGAGGAGGGGCGCCGCTGACCTCGTCTCCCCCTTTAGTTTTTCCTCTTCCTCTCCCGGTCCCCCGCAGCTCGATGTCCATCGCGGCGAGCCTGGTGAGCGAGGATGCCAAAACCAAGTTCCTGAACAAGATGGGCCAGCTGACGACCTCGGGCGCCATGCTGGCCAACGTGTTCCAGCGCAAGAAGTGACCCCGCGCAGGCGCTGCGCTGCTCCCACACTGCGAAGGACCCTCGCGCAGCCCGGCACCCCGTACTTGAAGTTTCTCCTCTGCCTTTCCTCTTTCTTTTTCCTTTTTGTCCGTTTTTGCGTCTTTTGTTTTTAATCTGTATACTGTGGCTATAATTTTATTCCGAATTCCAAAGAAATTTGCACTTGTTTTCATTTGTGTTCAATTACTCTCCTCCCCCAAGTACTTTTTTTTTCTTGGTGCAGGTGGTTTAGAAAAAAAAAACTCAAGATCCTTCCTGTCTCTGTGTTGCACTATTTCTGCCATTTGTTTTTTTGTTTTGTTTTGTTTTCTACTAGTGGGTGGAAATGTTTTGGGATTGTTTTATTTTTTTTGTGGATATGTTCTAAAAGTAAATAACTGTACAATACACTGAATTATTAGAACGGTACCCATATAATGTAAATTTAAAGTCGATGTCATGAAGTAATAAAAGTGAAGTGTTCTTAAGCCATGTCTGCCCATGACTGCTTGTTCAACACCCCAGTGGCAGGATCTCCATCCAGAAGTACTATTCTGAAAGAAAACCTTTCCAAGGTCAGCTTCCTGAACCTGCCCACCTGCCTGTCGACAGATCCCCCGGTTAAAAGTGTGGGGGGGTGTTTGCGTCGTCCCCGATCCGGCACAAGACAGGAAACTGAAGGAACAGCATAAGGCCAGCCTGCAGGTGTCTGCCACGAAGCAGGGACTGACTACACGGGCGGCTCGGAAGATTTCTCCTTTCCAGGCTGATCTCTGTACTTTTTTTTTTCCTTTGACAAGTCTTTTCTTCAACGTTGATGCTCAAAGAGGGAAGCACCAGCGCTGACGGTCTCTGTGTCTGAGGTAGACCCAGCACGGTCCTTGAGTGTCTTGCATGTTAGAACACCCGAAGCGCCTGTGGCCTTGTCTGTGGAGAGAGGAGGACTCTGTGTGCACTTCATCACTCTCCACTCGTTCGGCACCCAGCCCTTGGCTGCAGAAGAGTTAAAGGATTTTGTTTGGCCATCTGGAATTTGCACAAGCATGCTCTTCCCCAGTCTCCGGTTCCTAGAAGCTACAGTTCCTCCCAGTTCTTCCCACAGATGTTCACTGGGGGGCTTGAATCTTGAGACTGGGGCATCTACTGCATAATCCGCACTACAGGCGGGTGAGTTGTCAGCTTGGCTACATCAGGAGCCCATGGGAGCATCCCTGTCACGTCAAGAAGTCTCCTGCTGTTCTGTCATTGGAAAAGGCCAGCAGCACGCACCTAACGCATTCCTGCTGTCAAGGACAGAGGGCAGCTGGTGTTCCCATGTAAGGCTTGATGACACCCCTACACACCCCCTTCTGTCGTGTTTATTAGTTTGATCGTAGAGCGCACACGCCTCAAAACAGAAGCAGGCTGGAGCTGGCGTTCGCAGATTTTGAAGCATTCCTTCATTATAGATCTGTGTAAAACAAGAAGACATGGCTGTTGCTTTTTTTGTCTTCTACAATGTCCAGGTTTTTTTTAAGTCTGTTTGAGCCACAGCCCTTGCCAAGAAAAACAGACTGAAAATGGATGTTTCCAGTTGTGCTCAAAAGACCAGATTTCGAACATTATATTGCTGTAGTTCAGACTTTATTGGAGGGAATTGCAAAGCTTATGGGGGTCCAGCTGCACTTCTTGAAATTCTCATGCTTCTGTAGTTTTACTGGGATTGATAGGCAACCCCTCGGCTCTGATAAACGATTCACTTAATGTACACTAAGCAACAAAAAAATTATAACTGTGTTGGTTTCAAAGGTGTTGTCAATAAAATTAGAATCTTTTAACGGGTGCGCTGACATTTTATTGATCGGACATGGCCGATAGGTCAGGAACAGCACTGATAAACCGCGTCAAGTCAATGTGTGAGTCTTTGGTAAGAAAGAAGGCACTGTGAGGTTCAGATCATAGGTGAGAGGGAGAGAGGCTGGGAGTTTAATAGTTGTGTGAAGGCTGAAGATGCTGTACAATCCAGACTCGCAGAGTGTGGCTGCCACTGGAAACAATACAGGGTTGCAGATGCTGCCTTGTGGGGTTCCGTGCCAATTCTTTTCTTGAATTTGCACAAGCAAGTTCTTCTTTGAGCCCTAGGTGCCACTCGCCCTCCCCAGATCCAGTGAGCAGGACATCCCTACTCTGTTGCGTGACCGTAACACAGACAGCCTGAGGATCTGCTGGAATCCTGGTGCCAGGGAGGGCCAGCGCCCAGTGTCCCAGGTCCTGCCATGCAGTCAGAATTCCTGTCCGTCACCGCCAGATGGAGAGACGCATCGATGGGGATGCTACACCACACTTGGACCTCGCCGTCGACTGCTTCGTTTCATACAGCAGTTAGCGACGGGCTTGCTGACCTCCATCGGTGGGGGAAAGCCCCTCCAGTCTCCGGTGAAGAGGCTGTGGTTCCACGTTGCGTTGCGTGGGTGGATGCTGGAGAGTCTGGGGCTCTCCAGTGGCTGTTCAACCGCCCTGCATCACCACACAGCCACGAAGATGGCGCGTGATGACATCGATGTAGGTGAGCCCAAAACAGCAAGCGACAGTGTGATGGCCTTCCGGCATACAGAAGGCGTAAAGATACCGTTGTCGTGATAAGCAGGGCATACTGGCCTGTTTTACTTTAGGCTTGGCATCCAGCAGGGTAAATCTCCTCGTCGCTTTCCCAATCGGTCCTCAGCAGCGATGTTGATTGAGAGCCTATGCAGCAAAGTCACCTGAGTGTTTAACGGTGATTAAATGATCAATTAATCAAAAATTGATAACATGCCAAAACAATGTCATCAGTATTCAAATGCAGAAACAATACAGGCGTAATTAGAGCAGTTTCTTTTGATGCTCTGTATATCTTAATTAAGGCATCATGTAAGAGTGTGTACCACAGTAAAAGCAGAGCAAAGACCACAAATGAGAGGAGGTCTTTCAGCCAGTCTAAGTCACTTTGTTGCTGGTAGCATCATATCCAGTTGCTTACTCCCTTCTTTGAGCTATAAGGCAGCCAGACCCTCTGGTGCATTATTCGTTTTACAGCTTTCTTCAACAAATAGATAAAAGAGGAAGTGACAAAAACAGTATGAATGACTATATTACACTACAGAAGATCACGATTATTAGAAAAAAAAAGATGCAGACCAAACTCCTGCTAGGTAAAGAAAGATGTCTGGTAGTTTGTGAATTCAATTGTATTATATGAGCTGCGGGTTCTGTTGGTGAGCAAGTGGGAGAAAAAAAAAGCTTTTAAGAAATATAATGCAACCTGCTTAAAGTATTACCTTTTCATTTAAACTGATTTACTTTTTACTGTGTAATAATAAACACTTATTTTCTTTAACCTGTAAGAGCTAATACTCTTAAATCAAAAGGATTAATCATTTTTGCTTAATGTGTACAGAAATCATTCAGAAAGCAAGTCCGGTTAGTAAAATCTCTAAAGTAGTGCCTACAAAAAAGATTGAGAGAGACTAGTGAGTCATAAAAAAAGGCAGTTTGGCAGTCGAATGATGAATCAGAGATCAGGCTAACTTCCAAACCAAGGAGAAGCCATGCTGCATTAATCACATGAACATGTCACTCTTTTCCTTTTTATTTAAAATACTGGAACCATTTATTTCTCACAAAAAGGACTGAAGTTTGCAAAGACTTTCCACAAGAGCGCACAGTTGCCCATAAGCAGCTGAAAAAAATGCAATTCTTAAGAATAATGTTCTTGTCATAATCTTTGTCTTTTTACTTGTTTATTTTTTGGAAACCAAGCAGAGAATCAGCAAAACATTAACAAGATGGACAAGAGTTTGTTTCTCAAGCCTTTGTACTGTGTCTCTTATAAGCCTTGTACAGAAAGCTGCTGTTTTACGGGGGGTTTTCTAGTGGACCGGAGCGTTGCTGTCAGGAAAGTGCACGGGAACTGCTGGATTATGGTGTCCGCACCAACGCTGCTTAATATGGAAGGAATCCGTACAATCAATCATATTACTCACAAAAACAAAAATATTTTAATACTACCGGGCCAAGGAAATGGAACTGTTTACCCTGGGTGGGGAAGCAGCAGTTTGCTGGTCTGAACATCTGAAGGCCAACAGATGAGAGAGACATCACAAGAACAACAAGCATGAGTCCCTGTCAGGGTACTGTGCCATGTGTAATTGGTATTGCACTCAGTCAAGTCTGAGCCCAGACAGCCTATCTGTTCTGCGTGATTTTCTGACATCATCCTCTCTGCTTATAACGAATAGATACCGTTTCCCTTGATAAATAATAACTTAACGTCATGTACTTGCCATCAGTGAAACTGCTGAAGTTCACAATCCTAATGATTGCTATCTGTTTATCTAGTTCCGGGTAGGAAATAAAATCTCATTTCAATTTCTCGGTGCTGAAATGTCCTGATAAGGTACTGTACTTGCTGTATATTCTACTTGTTTTTTCTCATGTTTCACTGTTCCTGCTGTGGAAACCTAAAGTGAAACTTCAATTAGTCTATTAAAAGCATGGTGGAAAATAGCACACCTACAATTTTAACACAATTTAAAAAGTCTATTTGTTCCAGTTTCACATTGACTAGAAAACAGAAAGGGTTTCAATGATATTGTTAACTTTACCTGTGCAGAAGTCCTGGAAGAAAGAGTGTGTTGTCCCTTCAGAACAGCACTGCGAAGCTTTACATAATCAACAACCCCCCAGATGTCATCTACTAATAGCTAGCATCAGAAAAAAAGAGCGTTAGATTTTTTTTCAAAGCAGATTTAAGAGGCAAAATTGCTAGTACAGTATGAATCAATTTGTACCAGTCAGTATTTTTCAACAGTTCATTGTAAACTGTTAAATGTAGAAATGTACTTCTCTTTCTCTGCAGTACTGTCATTCTTTGACATTCATACATTGTTTTACAGTGTCATAAAAGTGAAATTCTCTTTTCATAGAAAAGTAAATGTCAAATTAAAGACTTTAAGCACAGGATAGTAAAGACTCAAAGTCATTAAACAGTTCTTTTACTTGTATCCTCAGTAAGAAACAATGTGCCTTTGTCATCCTCCGTGGTTGCAGATTGAGAATCAGAGAGAAATCTCTATGCTGTTTTTTCTGTTAAACCTGGAGTCTCAGGAGAGCAATGCAAATGTTTTTTCCGGGATGCAATTTTTAAATTTTTATACACATCATGCAATCATGCCTAAACCAGGTTGGCTTTCTATCCAAAAACTATCCCATAATTTAACCATGGTGGAGAATCAGGTGTCAAGGAAACAGTAAAAAAAAGTCAGCATCTTGTGGCACTGTCTGAGCGCATGTGCACCTGATTTGCATCTTGGCATACTTCAGATTTAAGAAGGAAATGAACGGTCGCAAGGGAATGTAAAAAAAAGTTAATGAGGATCAGAGTCACACAGTACAGAGTTGACGGTTATTCAAAATACAAAATGCTCCTGGAAATCTGCGCCTCTGGTCTATGAGGAAACAATTCAGGGCAGTGTGTGACTGGAGTGGAGTAAATAAGACAGGTGACAGTGACTCAAGACAGTATCTACAGGGGGGTGAAACACACCCATTGTTTACTGCTACAGCTAAAGAGATCTATAGCTGCCTTGTTTTAAAACAACCTCTTATGTTTTCTTTTTTTTTGCAATATTTACTAAACGGCTTGTTTAAGAGTGACATTTTAAAATGAAAACTGCGTTGCATTGCAGTTGAGAGAGAGCTTAATAGTTTATTAACATGATAGAAGTGAGCCTTGTGTTAAGTTGAAAACCATTCAGAGAATATACACTTAAGATCTCTTTTAATTTGAGTTAGATGTGTGAATAGAAATATTGATCGATTACAGAAAAGGTTGAGTGACGTTACTGGTTTAAACTTCACCAGCACTATGCTGATAGAACTCACCCACATACCCATCAAAACTTGGATCAGAGCAAGTAGCTGGTGAGGTTAGCAGGTAGGAGAAAACAACTTTAGCTCTTGGATTTCAAAAGCTTGAGTGTGCCTTACTGCAGTTAATTTTGCAATCTGACAGGTAGATTATTAGACCTATTGAAAAGGTCACATTTGCAGTTAGAAATTAGAGGGCATGCTTCTCTAAAAGGTGGAGCAGCAGCCATTAGCTTTGATCCTTTGATTTGACCTAGAAATCTATACTAATAGCATTGATAGCATGTGTACATACTGTATATAATAACTTGAAAGCAGTGGAGAATGGGATGTCATTCTGCCTGCCTGCCAGTCATGCTAGGTTGCATGGTTGAGAGCCCTAAGTGGCAATGATTTGATTTGCCCTTGGATATGTGCACTAAAGCAATTCTTCAGTGTGACTGGTTATAGTCTATTTTTCCAGAAAGATGTGGTATATATTCTAGAGTTTGTATAGATATTTTTCTTTTTTTTTTTACTCAGGTTCCCAGTTATTTAACACTGTTTGACGTGTTATTGTTCTGTTTAGTAGCTTCAGTAACAGCTAAGGTGAGGTAAAAAAAAGATTTTAAGATTTATATGATCACAGTGAAGGACCAGTCTCTGAGTTTGTACTCCATTGATCCTGGTGCCTGTCATTCACTGAGGTCACTGCATGTCTTATAGCGTAAGATACAACTGTGACAGTGATGTCACTGCTGTGATGGTGTTGTCACTGCTGTGACGGTGATGTTGCTACCCAGGACTCTGAAGACTATTCAGATTTACAGCAGCTGGTGGGGTTCCCACTTGGATGGGGTGTCTCAGAAGCTTGTGCCCTAGACAACTGCTTGAAGGCAAATAAAATTATTTGGTCTATGGATTTATCCTGTAACCTGTGGCTGGCTGTCAATACACTGGACAGTTCATGGAGAGCTGGGTGTTAAATGCCATAAGGTAAGCTTTACTGTTTGTACATGGATTTTGTACAGTAGCACTCGTGCAGAGGCCACTGAGAAGAACCCACACCCCACACACAAGCACAGGGAGCTTCCTGCTCAGATCTGCACTTTGAAGCAGGAAACCCTGTGGTGACAGCTGAAGAAACAGCACTGTGGAGACTTCACACTTGCGCACACAAATCACCCGATCGTCCAAGCCAGTGGAAAAAAGAATGTTCTGTCTGATAACCGGAAAAAAATGCTTCCTCCCTGCAAGAGCAAGGCATGTTCAATAAAAATAAAAATACATTCTGTGATGTTTCCTTTCTGCTTTGCATAAGCTGTGAAAACCTTTTAGCACGGGACCTTATGTCACTAGGAATTACAACACAGGACCAAGAGTTTGGGACCCCCATACAGGGACAGCTGCACAGGTGGAGCTACTGTAGGGTGCAGGGGATGGAATGTGAGAAAAATGTGAATATGACATATATATCTATCTTAATGTCAAGAAATTGCACTGGGAATCATTATCATTGAGAACAGCTGGGATGAAAGTGGTTTGGTTGTCTGCCAGCCGTGCCGCACTTCAGTGAAGAACCTCCATTTAAAAGTAAACAAAATCATCCAGAAAGGGAGGTCTCAAAAAACAAACCATGAAGCTAATGAAAAAAAATCTGCCCTCTCTGCAGTTTCTGCAGTAGCCAGTGTAACCCAATCATAACGCTTTCAATAAGAACAGTTTCTACGAACAAATACAGAATATCTCTGCCTCAAACCTTACCTTGTAAGACAGTAAGATTTACTGGCTGCACTTAGACCCTCCAGCAAAGGGCATAGAGCTTGAAGATGTACCACATTGAGCGCCCCCTGCTGGCCCCACTAACACCTCTTCCAGCAGCATCCTTCTTTTTCTCAGGAGGTCTCCCATCCAGGTACTGACCAGGCTCACACCTGCTGAGCTCCAGTAGGGCTTCCAGTTGTGAGCTGCAGGGTGATATGTCTGCTGGCAATTAATGTTACTCATATTAATATGTTAATATTATTGAACCCTGAATGATGCAAGCCTGTGGTGTAGAGTGTAGGTCACACTAGTTCCTCTCAACCTCATCGAGAATCTAAACTGAGCCACAGAGCATGCTGAGTATACTGTATATGACTAACAGATGATTAGAGACCCTTTCCCGTTTGGACAGCAAAGACCCAGGTCATTTAATAAACATGTCTGGGGGAAAAAAAAAGTATTTTAATCTACGCTGCCTGCTTTTCTAAATTTAGTGATTATGAGGATAGCATTAGCAAATGCTACTGTAAGTAGTGTTTCACTAACTGTACCACAGGGGATGAAAGAAAGTACAGTTCAAAATAGACTCAGGTGCCGGAAAGTGTCCTTTCGTTACTGGCTAGACGGCAAGATAATTTCATCACTTGTACTACATTTCACAGAGGTAGTTTTTTTATACATATTCCTGTAGTGGGAGGAGCCCTGGCTGCACCAGACAAGTTCCTCTGCTGTAAATCCTGTTGTTAAACAGGAATGAACTTCACTTAGGAAGCGTGGGTGAACGTACTGCGTGGACATGCAGCGCGACTCTGAAACCCAAGACTCTACCCATCCGGATCCTTGAGGGAACCTGTCGTTTTTTTTATTTTGTTTTTGCTTCTTTATTTCGAGGAAAGATCAAACGGCTCATTTCCCGAAAAAGGAAAGCTGCTCAAAGCGAAGAGACACACGCTCGTATTTTGACCTCTTAATGCCTTTTCAATCCAGAAGAGTCATGAGGAAGGGTTTCTCAGCCAGATGGGTTTTCCAGGGGTGGATTATGTTCATGCTGGTGGCTTTTTGCACACAGGTAAGAAGGAAATCATATGTTTTTAACTTCACATGCGTTTCCCTTAGAATAATAACATTGAAGTATGTTTGTGTACTTGAACTTCGTGAAATTGTTCTTAAATAAGAATCCAATTTGTTAATTTGTATTATAAAGAGAGAATAAATAAATAAAACTAACGATAATAAGCAAATCAATAAAACTAACGATAATGGGAAGTATCTGAGCTGGTTAGCTTGGAATTAAAATCCTTAATTCATGACAATTTTAAAAAGTTTGATGTATTAAATGTGTTCGTGTATAATAATGGTTTTGCATTTATTACAGCATGCGGATCAATTTACTGTGATAATGTAGGTCCAGGATATTAAGTTTTTTATTATTTTGAACTGTCCTTTGGCTCTTGTCTGCAATAAATGGTTCTGTACAGCCGTGTTTACACGCTTCAAAGTTTGATTTAACGAGAACCAGAGAGCTGCATGATCTCCCTCCAGGAGATTTTCTTACCACTAAACCTCAGAAATCTCGCAGGGAACGGCAACTCATTGCCAGATTTTAATTTGTTTTGTTCTGGCATTCTACAGCTTGTGTGGTGGGAAGTCTAAACAAATTTTTCAGGACATGCTGGTGACTTTTCTTCATTTGCATCTGTTGTCCCTGTTTATCTGTGGTGTACGGCTGTGCAGTTGGCTGTCTTAACAGACGGCCTCCAAAATACTTGACTGTAAAATACTGCTGGATTTACTAGCAGTGGACTTACCCTAGGTGTCTTCCCATAGATTTTGTCAGCTTGTTTCTGTTTTGTCTGTATCTACTTTGTTGATGAAGTGTAGAACGTTATTGAATGTACTGGTGCCTGGAGTGAGAGGACATTGTACTTCTTGGGTTAGGGAAGAGCATCGCCTGTCTTCGATTCCTCCCCGTGTTTTGAAACAAGGAAATTAACATTAAAAAGGCTGAAAACTAATGGAGGGCAGATATTAGACCTGCAGTTTTTCAAATAAGGGTGACGACTTTTCGATCTATGTTATTTCTAAGAAGGTTTTTAACACTCGACTGTACATGTCTAACGTACTGTAAACAGGTGGTAAAAACGGGTAAAACTAAGTTTGTTTTCCCACAGAAAGCCCATCAGATGTTTCATTCGTATTATATAATAACACTAAGACGTATTCAGACAACTGTCCTGTTGGAAATGGCCATTCATACCTTATTATCACTGTGCTGGCAGGCTAATTTGATCTCAAAGCAAAGTTTAAAAGATATGATTTCCCTGTTCTGAGAAGAATGCGGCAGCTGAAACGCTGCCTGGAAACACGTTGGGCTAAGGGAATGTCAGAGCCGAGGAAAAAAAGAAACTACTGAAGACCTCCTGTTCCGCGCTGTTTTTTTAAATTCACAATCGATGAAAACTGCTAAGCTAAATTAATCGGTTCTTAATTTGTACACGAGTCACGTGTTAAGGATTTTGTTTTCCATGCGCAGCTTGCTATCAAATGTTGCAGGTTTCACGAATACGTGCTGGTGCAGAAACCTGTCATGATGCCAGAAATTATCGCCGTGTAAAACTGACACCTCGTCTTGGGGTTTACAATATTACTGTTGATCATGTTAACAGCCTGCACGTGTAGGTCAAGGTGCAAAGTAATTTCATACAGGTGACGCTGAATTGCAGTGAAATGTGTGGAGTGGGTTAAAAAAGACATTTACCCGTATTCTGAACAAAATTCAGGCAA